TTAATGTGTAAAATTCGCAACCCGCTCTACTTCAAAGGCACCTGCCTGGGTAGAATGATCTTAAGGGATTCTCAGAAAGCTCCCTCCCTAAAAACCATCTCACATCAGGCTAACCAAGTTCAGGAAACCAGCAGGATTAAAAGTTGTTTCCTTCCTAAACTCCCCAACACCTCCAGAGTGTCATCCCGTAGTGAGCCTTTCATGACCAGGGTGAGAAACCCAAAACAGCCAAAGAACATTTGGAGAAGACAGTAGACACCACTGATTGAAAAAAATCAGAGAAAGAGTCCAGATTATATGGTGCTGCTGGACGCAAGCAGTAGATGAGGGATTCCAAAGTGGTGGGGGCACATACATGTGTGCATGTGTGTGTACGTGTGTGCACATGTAGGTGACCTTGTGTGCCCATACCAGTGTTCGTGTGCGGCCATGTGTGTGCAGATGGATGTGTGGGCGTGCATGTGTGCATGTGTGTGCATGAGCTCATGTCGTGGTACATGTGTGCACACGTAGGTGACCATGTGTGCACATACCAGTGCTCATGTGTGTGGTCGTGGTCGTGTGTGCACATGGATGTGTGTGCATTAGTTCATGTCGTGGTACATGCGTGCACACATGTGTGCGTGACTATACTCACACATGTGTGTACATGGACGTGTGTGTGTGCACACAGGTGTCGATGGGAGGGGAGGTAGTGACCCCCCACTGAGCAGCAGCAAACTGCATTCACACTAAGGTTTGTTGTAGGACAAACATCAGGCAAAGCAATCCAGGGTCACAATTACCCAACTTTAAATTCATGCTGGAAAATAAATAAATAAATAAATAAATTCATAATTCATTCATTCATTTCATTCATTCATTCATGCTGGTCGGGTTGACATGGACCTGTCCCCATTCATGTACAGGAGCAGCACGGGGGCCCTCGGACATGGTCCAGGCAGAGGGCTAAGACACGGTAAAGGGCCAGGGAGGACCAAACCATCCGGGCACAGGTTGTCCCCATGCTCACTGAAGACAGACTCCCAGGCCCTGCTCAGAACTACTGGAATGGGGGCCCTTAAACCTGCATTTTCCAAGTTCCAAGGATGAGTTTTCCATCTAGGGAAAGCAACAGCCACAGGAAAGAGAGGTCACAAGTGGGGAGGCCGACGGTGCTGGGAGAGCAGGCCTAGGTCAGGGCCATCCCCAAAGGCCTGGCTGTCTGGCCACTGTTCTCATGTCCTATTGTCTGTGACACACCAGGGCTGATGCTCAGTGGGTGTAGCTCTGCACCCCACTTGGCTGCTGTGCCCCCTGGCTCCAAGTAGACGCCCCTTGTCTCCAAGAGCCTCCACTGGCGATACAGGAACAGTTGAAGCCAATCTCAAGGCTCACACGGCATCAGGAAGGTCAGATGGTCCACGGTGTAGGCTGAGCAGGTAGGCAGGCCCCAAACAAGATAGTGAAGAGTATGTGCCACCCAGCCTCCCGGGGCCACTTCCCTGTCGGCTGCCAGAGCCAGGCCTTGGCTGGGCAGGGGGCTGAGATGAAGCCAGGGGCGCCCAGTCACATGAGGGAGCAGAGCCAGAGGGGCCTCAGCCTGGGGCAGGGCAACGTCCTGCCACCTGGAAGTGCCGTTCCTCTGTCTCCCTGTCCCTCCTGGGTCGGCTAAAGGAAGAGACAGGACTCAGAGTGAAGGCGGGGCGGGGGGGGGCTCCTAGGGAGACGGCCTGTGGAAATTTCCCGGTCTTGCCCCGAAGCAGGACTCCAACTCCAGCTCCTCATGAAGAGCAACTGAGATGCATGCCCACACCTCACCCTCTCCAGTTGCATTGTGATTTTCCCAGAGAGGCCTCATCTGACGTGTGAGAACTGCAGGCCCAGCCCAAGGCCTGGGGCCACACCCACCTGCCACAGTTCGGAGGCAAGTCCACCCCAAGCCCCGTGGGCCACGGTTCCCCAGGGCACTGACGGGGGAGGCTGGAAGCACAGAGGAGAATCCAGCCATCAGCGGGAAGGCGGGCAGGGGGGAAACCAGCTGGGGCGAGAAGCTGCCAGGGAGCCCAAAGGGACTACAAAATCATTCCAGAAATTTCTAGGACAGCGTGCTTCAGAAAAGCACAAGGACACTCCCAGGAGGCTAGACCATAAGCCCACTTCACACTCACACCCTGGCCCTACTGGGACATGACTCCCAAGCCAACAAAAAGAGATGCAATGTGCCACCCAAGAACAAGCTAATGGAGGGAGGGGTACCTCCGTGACCCAGTCCATCACTTGACATGCCCTCTGGTGACACCTGCCGCAGAAGCAACCTACCACCTCCAACACAGAATCCCATCCCCACCAGACCTCTCCCAGCCTCTGTGGGCAGCGCCAGGTGGCTCCCGAGGAATCTGCGCACCTGCTCCAGGACCCACCAGAGGGGTTCAACTTGGATCCAAGAAAGGGGTTCTAAAGCAAGACAGATGTCACAGGGCAGAACTAAGTGTCATAGCATGGGGCGGGGCGAGGCGACCTGGGGCGGGGCCAGGTGACCTAGGGGAGGATTTTGTGACCCAGGGGAGGGCTGGGCAATCTAGAATGTCCATTACCAGATGGAGAAATTGAGCCTCCAGGAGGTTTAGTGACCCCCCGCCCCCTGCCGCCTGCCACCCCTCCACATCTTCCTCTGGAAGACAGTTTGGTGGTTTCTTATAAAAGTAAATCTACTCTTATATGAACCAGAAATGTACCCCTTGGTATTGACCCAAAGGAGCTGAAAACACGTCCACATCAGACACTTCAGAGATTTATTCACAACTGCCAAACACGGAAGGAAGCAGGATGCCCTGAGCTAGGTGGACAGATTACCAAGGCCACTCTTCCAGACAACGGGATGTTGCTCAGAACTAAAAAGACACGAGCTGTCAAACCATGAAAATGGAGGCACACGAGGAACTTTAAACGCACAGGACGAAGTGAAAAAAATCGAGTCTGAAGAGGCCTCCTACACGTGACTCCAACTCCATGACGCTCGGGACAGAGCAACACTAGGGAGACAGCATAGAGATCAGCTGCCAGAGGACTGGAGGGGATTGGGGGTGGGGGGAACGAACAGGGCAGACTTTTAGGGCAGTGACACTACTCTGTAGGGTCCTCATGGTGCTCATGTCACTGGACACTCGTGCAAACCTGCAGAGCGTACAAAACAAAAAGCCAACCCTAATGTCAACCACGGACACTAGTTAATTATATCAGCACAGACTCATCGATTGCATCAAACACACCGCGTCAAGGCAAGATGCTAGAAAGGGGGAAATCTCCCGGGAGTGGGGCTAAGGGAGTATATTCCGACTGTTTAACCTTTCTGTAACTCTAAACCGGCTCTAAAAAAAGAAAATCCACTAATTAAAAAGCTATTTGCCTCCATGTTTAACCACGTCCACAAAGTAGCATCTGTGTGGCTCCTACTCACGTGGACACTAAAGACACAGTCCAGCCCCTAGGGGACTGAGCTGCAAGGCCAGTGGGTCCCCAGCTTCACAGGTCTTCCACACACTGCTTGAGGGGGGACACTGAGACCCAACCTTTCACTGTTACACAGGAACAGATAGATGGTCTCCTGGAGTCTTAATGACTTGCATGAACAGGAAGGTTCTAGATCTACTCAACTGAGGCCTGGCTTGAATCACCAAGACAGAGTCATAGCTCTTCCAGCTACTTCCAGACTTGGCAACCCCATCTCACAGACCAGAGCCCACAGATGATGGGGAGCTGAGGGCAGGTCCCCTGAAGGCTACACGAGCCATACATTCCCACTGTTATCCTTCTCCCAACCTTCTCCAAAAGGACCTGTGGCCTCCGCCAGGATGACTGTGCACACGGGAGAAAGAAAGAATGAGAATTTTCCATGGTTGCCAAGCACCAACTCCGAACTGACACCAAGAGCAGAAAACCCAAATCGTTGCCCTGGTCCACTGGTCAGAGCAGAGGCTTACAGGGGTCAGGTGACCAAATCCACCCTGTAGTTATTTCCCCAGTTCTGCAACATGTAATGGTCACAGATACCCTTGGCAGCTGGCGGGATCCCCAGGCTCATTCCTTGACCTGTGGAGCCAAGGCCCTTCTGGTGGGAAAGGTGGTAGGACTGCCTGGACTTACAAAACCACAGGCTTCATCAGCAGAGCCCCCCGAGCGCATCTGGATGAACATAACCCTTTCCCGCAGAACCTTCCAGCATCTTACCCGCCCAGCGTACGTTATGAACAGAGCAAGTCATGTTTCCCAAACTTACTGGACCACAGATTGTCTTCATTATGGAGCCACGGATAAGCCCCATAGGATGTGATGCAGAAGGAAAGCAGGCTCAGGGGCACGGCCGTGGCTCTCCTGGTCCCCAACCGCGAGATGGGCAACCTCGCCTTACAGGAGCTGTGCCCCCGCCGCTCTCCCGTCGACCTCCTGCCCCAGCTCTTGGGGCCCAGGAGGGAGGCCGCACAGAGTAGGAACAGATCCCAGTAACATACGGATACAACGTGGCTTCCCCTCCATTTTACAGATGACATACATGATATAAATTACACATGTTATAAACATGCATGATAATCTTTAGATTATTGTCATTTTTAAAATTATCTTCTTAGCAGGCCCTGAAGTTAACAGGGAACAGGTATCTCCTGTGACAAAATCATGTAACAAAAACCTGCATAATCACTGTACTTGGGGGCAAACTGGTTTTCTGGAGGCTGAGGAGCCACAGGGTCGGGCACCGTCTAGCAGCTCTGAACAGGCTGCCAGCCCGTCCCCTGAAGCATGACAGAATCACCATGGTTCCTCTCCATGCAGCAGCCCACGGGGCCTCCTCCAACTCCTGCCGGAACCTTCCATGAACAAGCCAGCCTGCTCCCAGCCCTCTCTTCTCCATTGCAACCCGGGCAGAGTCAGTCCTTGTAATTCCTCATCACCTACGAGGCCCACTAGGTGCGCCCGGGCGCCTGGCCCAGTCCCAGGGCACGGTTTCGGCCAGGCCAGCCTACCTGTGTGGGAGAGCCTCTGCAGGGTGGCTGTCAGGCGCTGCAGGACCACCGGCGGCACTTCATACTGGTCCGTGGCTAGTGCTGGAACCTTCTGGCATCTTCCGAACACTCCGTCTGCGGAGAAGGGAAGCAGAGAAGAAAGGGAAAGTGACATTTCATTTTCAGGGAGAAGAAGGGTATTAAACACATCCTTGCAATATATCTAATTATGCACAGCAGCGAGGCCCCAGAAAGTCACCACGACTCAATCAGAATTCAGAGCACTGGGAAGGTGATGGTTTACTTCAATAAGAGACCATCGTGGAAAACACAATTGCAAAGGTAGAGAGAAGAGGACGTGCATTCCGGAGAGTTTGCGTTTTCTCTTCAACTTTCCCGTCCCTTCCCCTTGGCCCTCCCCACCATTCATGTTTTATCATTTCCTGCCCCTGGCTGTCCCCTCTCTGACCCGAAGCTTTGCTGCTGACAGTCCCATGACAAAAAAAAAAAAAAAAAAAAAAAAATCAATAACATTCAGGGCCGGTTTTCCAGATGAGAAACAGGACACCCAGGAAATATAAATATTAATCTGCAGAAGCTGTGAGGACCGGGGGTGGAAGGGCTGTCTGCCATGCAGGAGTGGGTGGGGGCAACCTGGAGACAGCAGCGAGGTCAGTTCCCAGGGAACCTTCTGCAAGGTGGCCAAGGAGAGGTGCTCCAGGACGGGGACACATTTATCTAGCTCTCTTCCATTTGTCTAAAATGACAGACTCTGCTCACCATCTTTTCAAACCACACCTTCTAATTAATTTAGGCCCCAATTAGTCTTTATTCGGCAAATTGTTCACTTTGAAATAAGCTTCCTGTAGGGGGTTCAAACTTCCTAATTACTGTCTTTCATACACACAAAAGACTAATTCAAGGGCCAGTGCTTCATCCACAGGGCAGCCATCTGCAGTTTCAGGCCTGGATGGAAGGGGAAACACATCTTTATTGTTTACCACCGTCTCATTGCACCAAGTAGAGCCGAAGAAAGCCATTCAAATGCAACAAGTTTAATTAGCAGAAACACATTTGCCCAACGCCAGGCTGACTGGGTAATTACTGGTCTAATATTACGTGTGTGCTCAGGGCGGTCAGGGCCGTGGAATTAGCAGGAAATCACCTCAACTACTGGACGCACGTCATGGATTTCTAAGGGGACTCTGCAAAACCCAGTGGCTCTGGGAGGACGACCGCATGCTGCTGGGCGCGGGCAGACAATGGCCGTGGAGGGAAGTCAAAGCTCCTGCAGCCACCTCCGCCACGCTGGGGACAACGGCGCCACCCTCTGCCTCAGGGACTCGCTTCCACCACCAGGATTTCCACCGTGAGCCAGAGGGAGTCCCAGCCCTCCCTTATCTCGGAGGGAGAGCCCTGTCCTCCTGCCATCACCCATGACAGGCAACCTGCTCCGCACAAACACAGCACGTGTCTCTGGTCCTTGATTTTACCTTGTGCAAAGAACTCTGCGCCTGTGGATGGCACATTTATGAGAGAAAAATGAAGAACTCTTTAGAATGCACCTGACATGTTTTCTTCCCTTTGCAGATGGAGGGTCTCCAGGGCAGAACCACAGCGCATGGGGACTAGACCAGTAAGATGGCCTGACCCCACTTTCACAGGTGGGCATCCTGACCAAGGCCTCGGGGGCAAGAGAAATCCGGCTCCGGATATGCCGTGGCCGTCCTCACCAGAGAAGAACCGCCACAGAGGTTGCCTATTTCGGGGTATCCCAAGCGGATGAACTCCCTTCTGAATTATAAAGGCATCATTTGTTCAATTTGGTCTGTGCTGCACAATGTTGTAAATATGTTCTCAGAAAAATATTTTTTGGATGTTCTTGAAATCTTTCTCTTAAATAGGTATTTAAAACACACACATATATAATGTAATACATAGGATCTTTTTGTGCTTTTAAAATTAGTTTTAGCTAAAAATTTGGTTTTAATGATTTGAACATTGAAACTAAACTATTAATTCTCTTTGCTGCTAGACCACAGCCTAGCTGATGAGGTAGGTCACACCTTTCCCTGACACATTTAAAAAAAATTTTCTTTTAAACTTCTTTAAAATTAACTAATTTATTTATTTGACAGAGAGTGAGTGCGTGTGCCTGAGTGCAGGGAGGGGTGGAGGGAGAGGGAGCCCAAGACGGGGATCTATCCCATGACCCTGAGGTCACGACCTGAGCCAAAAATCACAAGTTGGATGTTCAACTGACTAAGCCACCCAGGTGCCCCGAATGAACTTTATTTATTTTTATTTTTATTTTTTTATTTTTTTAAAGCAGTTTTAGGTTCACAACGAAATTGAAGGGAAGGTACAGAGATTTCCCATATGCCTCCTGCTCTCACGTATGTACCCCTTCCCCATAATCTGCAGCCCCTGCCAGGGATGTGCCTCAGTCCCATCTGATAAGCCCACATTGATTCGTCACCATCACCCGAAGTCTGCAGCTTTTAGCAGGGTCGTTCTATGCGGTGTACATTCTATGGACAGATGCACGATGGCGCATGTTCACCACTGCGGTGTCATACAGCATGACTCCCTGAAAGTGCTCTGTGTGCCACCTATTTATCCCTGTAACCCCTTCCCCCCCCAACAGCCACTGATCAGTTCACTATCTCCACTGGCATCTTTTCCAGAACATCCTGGACAGTTGACCCTTGAACAACAGTAGTTAGAACTTTCTAGGTCCACTTTTACACAAAGATGATTTTCTTTAGAAATACAGCACAGTGTAGATGCACACGTGTGGATGTGTTTGTGTGTACATGCGTGCATCTACATGTGTATATGCAGTGTATTGTGCACCTGCATACATGTGTGCGTTATTTTCATGAGCATGTAAGTTTGCATCTGCACATGTATATGTGTGTGCACGTTGCCTACATATGTATTGCAAGGATGTGTCTGTTTCCATGTTTTGTGCTGTGCACATGTGACATGTATTTACAGATGTGTGTGCGCACATACACACATGGACCACCTCTACCAATTTTTTAATTGCCAAACTGCATGTAAGAACCAAGGATACTACTATTCCAACATCATGAGTACATCTGAGAATCAGATATTGTTAATACTTCCCTACTTTGAAACCGGATTTCCATATTTACTTCTCAACAAACAACTCCACGAGCTTTCTCTGCGTCCTCGGGATGACTGTACACACTCTCAACATGCTTCTCATTACCTCCAGGCCCCCATCTGCTGCGCATTGCAACACTCCCTCCCCTTCCAAAGGGTAGATCCTGTCCCTCCCCACACAGCTCTTACTGGTACTCCGGCCCCAGGAAACATACAGCCCTGCTCCCACCTCCCATCTGCTGGACAGATGAACAGCTGCAAGTCTTGCATCTGGGGCGGAAGCAGACATGCAAACTATCTGCTTGTAACCGCGATACCAGCTACAGAGGGATGTGCCAGAGGGCAGCATGCGGCAGGGGCCCTGACCTCACCCAAGAAAGTGGCATCTGGCTGAGCTTTAATCTCCGCAGAGCAGGGCTGCCTGTGTGGGGCTGGGAGGATGCGAGATAGGCAGCAGGCTCTGGAGGGGGGGCAAGAAGCACCCGGTCCCTTGGCCTCTGGGACCAAGGGACAGAGCTCCAGGTGTGAAGCAGGTCAAGCAGGGTCCACAAGGCCTGAGGGCGTGGGGCAGTATCAGCTCCCCACCTCCGCCAGCTGCTGAGGCCTGACGGCTTGTTTTGCACTTTGTCAGGAGTCATGGGGTCACAGGAGCTGCCTGTCCAGGGGAGCATGGGTCAGCGAGGGTGGCCGCCAGAGAACAAGAGAGCAGGACAGATCCACAGCTCCATCAGAGATGAACCCAGAGGATGCCAATGCGCCCAGCCACAGGACAGCCCCTTCCATGCGTCTGTGGCGCAGAGAGGTTCCGGGGCTCAAGGCGACACCCTGATGATGGCCCACACAACGTGAGTTCTTCCAAATTAGTAATGAGTTGTCTCGCTGCCACCTAGAGAGCTGAGGAAGTTGACGACCCAATGGCCCCTGGGCGGGGGAGGGGGTGACTGCATCCTTCCTCAGGGCGTCATCTCCTGACCTGTGTGGGCAACGACCACATGAACCACAGATCGGGGCACATACTCTTAACCCCCAAATCTGCTGACCTCAGTGGAATTCTAAGGCCATGCTCCCAAGTCCAAATTTCTGGAATGGTGATCCCCCCCTTGGTTTCACAGAGCAGAAGACTGGGCCTCACTGCTTCCAGAACCGGAGAATACACGGTCTTAAACACCGATAAAGAGGGGATGTGGTGATGCTAAGAAAGTGGGTGCTACTCCCCCCCCCACCCCCTGAGCATCGCTGACCACAACTGGGTAGCTAGCATCTTCCATTAGAAAGAGAAACCTCAATGAGGGTTTTTGCTGGATTTCTGGAAAAATGCGAGAAAACAGCTTGTATAATATTGTCTGTACGTTTGTCGTAACCAGTGTTCCTGGAGCATTAGTCCCACCGCCAAATGTCATTTTCACTCATAAACATCAATGTCCCTTAAACACTGTTGGGGCCTGGGGCAGTGCCCTCATCCTGGACCACTTCTCCCTTGGTGTGTGGGGCTGAGCATCTCCAGGCTGCACGCACAGGCTGCACAAACAGATACACACACAGGTGCATGCACAGGTGCACACAGAGACCGCACACACAGGTACACACACAAGCTGCATGCACAGGCTGCATGCACAGGTGCACGCACAGGCTGCACACACAGGTACATGCACAGGCTGCATGCATAGGCTGCACACACAGGTGCATGCACAGGCTACACACACAGGTACACACACAGGTGCATACATATGCACACAGGTGCATGCACAGGCTGCACACACAGGTGTATGCATTGGTACATGCATAGGCTGCACACACAGGTGCACACACAGCTGCATGCATAGGTACACACACAAGTGCACACATATGCTGCAAGCACAGGTGCACACACATGCTACATGCATAGGCTGCACACGCAGGTGCACACACACGTGCATACACAAGCTGCACGCACAGACTGTGTACACAGATGCACACACAGATGCTCATGCAGGTGTACACACAGATGGCTCACACCGGTGCAC